GCTCTGGTATAATGGCTACCCAGCAACGGAGCTCAAAAGTGTGGGATCATTTTAAGAAAATGAAAGAGAAACCTGTGTAATATCTGCAGAGCAGAACTTACCTTCCACAGCAATTATTTTTAGTTAGCATATAGCTAAAATCTTAACGGCCAAGCTCACACCCCAGCCGACCACCAGCCAGGCCCCGGCAGCCACCCCAGCCAGTGGGCCATCTATGGCAACCAGGGGCCACAATCCGAGAGTCCGAACAACCCCGGGGCCAAAAGGCAATCCGAAAGGCTATCCCACTCCCAGGGCACATGCAGCCTAAATACACAACTTTGGGTCATAAACTGAGCCATTTCCTTTAGTTTAGGCACATATCAACACCAGTACCAAACCCAGCAGCACCTCATGAAGACAGATCGCATCAACTTCTGCATTTACGCGGCTAACATGTCATGGGAATGACTGGATGTAAAAAAATAAGACTTGAATAATCTAAATTTAAGACCTCAGATGAAAATCTGGTGCGTTTTTTTAGACTTTTTTAGGCCTAAAATTTAGATTTTAAAATTTTAGACCTTTTTAGACGTTTTAAGACCCTGCGGGAACCGTGCTTTAGAACAGTGATTCCCAACCAGGGGTATGTGTACCCCTTGGGGTACGCGAGCATATTACAGGGGGTACATGGAAAAAATTTCCCAGGTGTGTAAAAAAATAAAATAAAACTAGGACTGAGATGTGATTTCAGCAATGTGGAAAATGCAAACAGAATCATGAAATTGACACAAAATGGAAAACTGTATAAAACACGAAATCTAACGGAATTTGTTCATTTGGGGTATTTGATGTATTTTGGATGCTGATGTTTGCTGTTCCTGCCATTACCTGGTTTATTTATTTAATTATTGTACACTTTTAAGGCAACAAATTTATCTTTATGTTTAATTTGAGTTGAAAAGAATAAAATGCCTGAGAATTAAACGTTCTAGGGAGTTAAATAAATAATTTTTATTTAATAATCAGCTGTTGTACGCTAGTTTTGACTGACGGGGTACTAGCGGTATGAAAAAATGGCTCAGGGGGGTACACAAGTTTAAAAAGGTTGGAAACCACTGCTTTAGAAGAGCTGAAACAGCGGCTCTCAGAACTTAAACCTTGGCTCGCTCCTGTAACAGCGCTGTTGAGGAGATCTGCCCCTGGTACAGGCTGGGAGCGATTCAACCACCATTTCATTTGTGTTTAATGACCTTTTTATGGTAAAATAACAGAACTTATTTATAGTTTTCTCAAGTCCAAAGACTCCAAAGTGCTTCAAACCACAGTCATTCAAACACATTCACACAGTTACATACAAATCATTCAAGATCAGTTCCAACACTAATAAATTCAGTTAATTAAAACCAACGACATTCAGTCCACTTAATTCAAAATTTCACTTCAGTGATGTCATACTCAAGTTTAAGTCCAATTAATATTGTTTTTGGTTTCTCCTGATTATTGCTGCTATTATTCTAGTTTTGTTTGGATGAGCAATAAATAAACAACAAAATCAAACTAAAGAGCAAACCTCCTGTCCTTTTATTATTACAGCACTGTAAGTCTCCTCTAACAAGATGCATTACTGAAATTGCATTTATTTTTGAGTATTTGTTGTCATTTTTTCAAGATCTTTAAAGCCAGCTTTTTGTAGAGTAGTTTGAACAATAATGTAGCTCAAGTATTTGGCATGTGAAGGTATTTTTCTTAAAGTTTGGATGATTTGAAAGCTAAAGTTGGATTTTTAGGCACATATAAGAGTTTCTTATGAACTTTTCTAGTTTTAATATAAACTAATATTCCATGTGTTAGCAGAAGGCGTCTGATTACAACCACAGCCATGTCTGCAGAAGATCATTTTTCTGCATCATGTTTATAGATAAGGCTATAATTCAAAATAAAAACATTAGAAATGGCTACACCACAACGTGTACGGTTTTATTTTGAAATGCACAGCACGTGTCTGCACGCTCTGAATCAATAAGGTTGCTTTTTACGGTTGTTTATCGCAGATTTCAGCTCGTTTTGACGCAGACAGAGCAACATATTTTGAGGTGACATCCCTTGGAGAAGCGCGCGCACCGACACGCGCGCCTGAGCGGCTCGGCTCCCTGCCTGGAAATCAGCACCGCAAACACAAACACATGAACTCACTTCCCCAGCTCCTCGTACAGCTGATATTCATCCGTGAATCGCGTACAGGTTGTCGTGGCCATGGCTCTCCTCTCTTGTCTTTCTCTCGTCTCCTGGTTCTTCTTCTCCCCGGATCGAACTCCGAAAGAATTGCCGTCAAGTTCGGGCTGAACGAAGCAGCAGCTGCGTCAGGACCGCACAGGTTCCGCCCAGCAGCTGGCCGGCCGTCGGAGCGGTGAGAAGCCCGTGAAGAGGCACCGAGGGACGGACGGGGTTTGATGTGGATACACACGAAGCTGCACCGTGTGGGTGTGCTCTCTCTGGCTCCGCTATCTGACAGCTACAGCGCGCGCAACCGACCAGCCGCCAAGCTAGATTAGGTAAATAACGCTACTTCCTGTTTGGATTTTCAAAATAAAACAAAGCCTCGCACTAAACGTGAGCATGAATCTGTATCTCTTTGTTTTTCATTGCTTTTAACAAAAACAAAAATGCGTTAGTGTTGACCTACCTTAAGAAAATTATATGTATTTTCAAAAATACCGAAACCAATACTATATAAATGAATAAAAGGAAAGTCGTGCAGAATATTTTTAATCTTTCAGTTTCAAATAGTTATAATAGGGACTTAACGTTTGTTAGCTAAATATTTCATGAACCAGAGATTGGAATTTGATGAAACGTTCAATAAGTAATCCTTGTGTACACGTTTACAGCTGATTAATTTCTTAAGTCAATAACTTGAAGATGGACACCACAGTTAGTTAATATTACTACAAAACTGGTTGCAACTCAATCAATTTTACAGATATTGTGCTAAGATTTGATGTGGTCGTGGCTGTTTTTTTCTCAAGGGTCAACCAAAAAGGCTACCAGCCCGGTTCTCAACCTTAAATTAATTTAGCCAAAAACTTTGACGCATAAGGAATGTTGAACTTTAGTGACTGACTGCATGAAAAAAATCAGTTTCTAATAACTTCAGTTTGTTTCTATCTTATTTTGAAAACCGAATCCATAACTTCCGGTTCTGTGCTTATTATTTCGTCTGACTTGACACAGCCTTCTTTATTTGGACGTAGCAGCGCTGAATCGGTCGCTCTCTGCCGCCCTCTGGTGGACAAACTGAGCACAGAAGAAGAATGACCCCTCCTGCATGGCGCTCATCTCCAAATAGGGGCAAATATGAAGGAGCTGGTTTATGGTTTCAAAAGGTCCCGTGTGAACATCAGTGATCTGGATTCGAACTGAATGTTTTGCATGTTTAAAGGGTTAATACAGAAATAAACTACGGGGAAAACTGTCTTTTCTACAACTGTTACTGAAGAATATGAAACTGAATTTTCCGAGCTGGTGTAGCAAATTGCTTGCTAAAAGCTAAAACAGCAAAAAAGGAACATAAAAAATAGCAAAAGGCTACCTTGAATTGCAAAACATTAGCTTAAATTAGCAAAAGGGAAGCAAGAAGCGAACAACTTCATAAGACAAGTACTGTGAAAGCTTTTCTAAATAAAGCCAAATGAAGCTAAAATCAGCTAAAAATAGCTAAACAGTATCGTAAAAGCAACAAAATAGGATCTCAATTTATTTCTAATGGGAATTTTTTTGTAGATAAAACTAAATTAAAAATAACAAAAACCATTAGAGCGCAAAGCTCCAGAATGAGCTGAAAGTTTAAACCTACAAATAAAAAAATACATATATTTTTAATGCTGTGAAGTGTTTCATACACGAATTATGGAAAAACATAAAGAAACAATAAAATAAAATAAAATAAAATAAAATAAATGTCTGAGGTCAGGACTGCTGTTTGGAGCAAAAGATAATTTTACAAAAATAACTTTTACTCACAGCTGCAGTTTGTAATCACCACCTCCTCCACTTCCTTTCTGTTTCTACTTTATTACAGGAGTAAAACTAACACACAACGGTGGGTCAGCATGAAGGCAGGTGTAAACATTTGATACCAGCTGCAGCAGAGGATGTTTTTGTCTGTTAGCAGAATATCTCAAGAACTGGATGAGTTTTAACGAACCTTTCTGTAAATAATCACTGAAACTAAATAAGTTTAAAGTTTGGGATGAAAAGCGACATGCATCTCTTCAAAGATGGCTACGCCTTTAAATCCTGAAGTTCTTCTTCCGACTTCAGAGTTGTTTTTCTACCTTTTTTTTCCGTGTTGTTGCAGTTTTAGCAAACGGAACGCCTCATTATAACCTCCTGAAGCGGCCCCCAGGAACCCCACGCTGCTCCAACCTCACGGTTCAGTGGCTCCGCCCCACTCCCTCTCTGCAGCAACATAATTACAGTTAATTAGTGTTAATAGGTGCTTAAACTGATTAGACAGATGCCCTTTGAGCTTCCTGAGGCACACGTGCATCTGCTGCAGCAGGATGAAACGTCACGGCTTTTATTAGAAACACGCTGGAGAGGGAAAAAAAAGGTGAAAACTTCAGTCAGGGTTGGATTAAATTCTTCATATTTTTAATTTGTAATTCAAAGAGGAACCCTCAAACACATCAGCAGCAGAGACTCAAACACATTAGCCTTAAAATAAATAAACAAATTTGTTTCTGGCACACTCATGCACAACATAATTCAGTCAACAGTCTTTAAATATGTTTAAAATTCATTCATCGACAGGATGGTTTCACTTTGAGGTGAAAGAACCGCTGCGTTCTGATTGGTTAAAAGACAGACGTGTGCGTCACTGCAGGAGTCGGACAGAGTTGACGTGGAGGTGATACAGGAAGTCGGCGTAGCTCGCGCCGCCGTTGGGACTCTTGTCTTCCACCAGGTGGCGCTGCAGCGCCTCCTCACAGGTGTCTCCCTGCTTCACCACCAACAGCTGAGTAAGAAGGAACAAATAATCGTTCTTCATTGTAACTATAGTTATTAAAGTTCCTGTGAAATCAAATTTTGTAATAAATATGATGCATTTTTTGAAGAGAACATTGGTAACATAATGCAATATAAAATGAACGACGCCGAGACGAACAGTTGTTGAGATATTCACCGGTGAAACAACAGGAAGTGAGGTCTGCATGTAAACAAAGCATTGCTACAACAGCTGACAGCACAGACTGTTCTTTAGATTATAAATCTGTCGGTGAGTTCTGGTGCACTGGTGCTTTGTGCTAACCTTACGAGCGCACGGCGCCTCGGAGTCGAGCGTGTCGATGAGCGATCGAACGCTGATGGAGAGAGGCGTCTCCAGAGGGGGCAGCTTGGTCTGAAGGAACACAAAACAAAACGTGAAATACGCAGAAAACTTAAAACAGCTCATCACTTTACCTCTTTCTGTTCTTTTTTAAATACATCTAGCATCATCTGGGAGATTTAAATATTCATTCCTGGCTGGTTTTCTCTCTTTATTACAACGAAGTATTAGAGACACACAACAAAATTTTAGAAAATTATTTTTAATTACGAGATTAAAGTCGTACGGAAATTAATATCATGAGAATAAAGTCGTAATATTACAAGATTAAAGTCATATTATTACAAGATAAACCTTTGTCATTGTACAGAGCACAATGAAATTACATTTCAGAACATATCAGGGAGTATTACAAGATTAAAGTCATAATATTATGAGAATAAAGTCCTAGTATTATGAGATTAAATTCATAATATTAAGAATATTATGAATGAGATTAATGTCAAAANGTCCAGCTGCAGTCGCTCTGTTACCAGACAATGAGAACATCTGATCAACCACCATGTCAGATAAATGTTTGCTACTTCAGAACTTATTCGACAAATGTGTTTCCATGTGTCCTTTTGTGTATTAACTCTTTTTTGAAAAAAAAACAAAAACAAAAACCAAAAACTTTGATGGAAACACGGCTAGTGTCGTGTTTGATGGTAAAAACCTCAACAATGGAAGAATATTTACCTCCACTGACGGCTGTTTGTTGACCTCAATAGTTGAGGTAGACTCACTGGAAGCTCCTGAAATAAAACAAAAACAAACAACTAAGTAGACAGTTAAAAGAGAGTATAATGTATTGATGGATTATTAAACCGACCAAAGCCTATTATAACAGTTTTACCTCAAACATTCAGATCATAATTTTTTTCCACGAAGGAACTAAAAAACAACTGAAATACTGAGGTTCAAAACAAATCCAGGATGACTGAATCCTCAACGACTGATGCTAGATGACAAACAGCTGTTTAAAATAAAAATACATTTTACCATTGCTACCTGAAGAAGACGGCCACTGAGGATGCTCCTGGGAAGTGGATGAGTTGTAGCTCTGAGAGGATCCATCAACACCAGTCGACTCTCCACTACTTCCTCCAAATGCATCCTCAGACATATTCAGTCCACACGATGGAAAATTTACAGACTGATCTTGATCTGGTACGGCCTGACCGAGTAACTGAGCTGGGAAAGTTTTATAAGGGACATTGGCTGGTAGAGGAGGGAAATGCTGGGAGCTACAAGGCTGTGGTCCTTGGTTTGGTTGGGGAAGAGGTTCCGGGGACACTGTTTTTCCCCGGCTTGTTGATCCCCGCATCGATGAAGTGTGAGGGGTTTGCTGAGAAAAAGACATCAGTTGAGACGCGGCGGGGATAGAAGTGTTGTGTAAAATCAAGTTGCTCAACGTGTGAGGGGCAGTGTTCTGTCTGTTGGTGTCTGATGACATGGTGCTCAGGTTGGTCGTACAGCTCTGATTGGACCCCTGTGGGTGGTTGTACAGCGGTTGCTGATCAGACAAGTTCAGACCGAGGTGCTGAGAGTTGGTACGTGGGTTGACGACAACTCCTTGTGCCGACGTTGTGGGCCAGCTGGTTGGGGTTACCCATGTCGAAAAGGAGATGTGGCCTTTATTTGATGCAGAGTTGTCCATCTTTTACCATCACCATCCAGTTTTTTGGTTGGTTGTGGTGTCTTGTTTGTGTAGTTGTGTCCTAACAGAAAAAAAAAACAGACACTGTAGACGTAAAATTTGCTGAAATATGTAACTTGCCTTAAATATTGTGCACGAGTAAGGCTTGAGCAACCATATAATTTCATTATAATCCATTTCAAATAAAACTGTGTTTTTGTCACACAGTTTCAGCAAAATAAGAATTAAACTACAAGTAAGGCAGTTGTTAAAATTACGACTTTAAAAGAAGTTTTCTTCCCAATAGTTAAGCAGTAAAACAACAACTTTTACTATCATATACCTTTTTCAAAATTCTTCTATTTTTTTTTCTTTTTTGCAAAAACCTTTATGTGTGACGTCATTTTCTGGAGGTTGCACGTGGTATTAAATACAATTTACACCTCGACTTAAGAAAGATCTAATATGAAACTGTTTGTAAAAGAACATATGTTAAGGTACATATTAATCATTTTTAAGAGATTTAATATTCCCTGGCCTCAATAAAATGATAACTGGTACTTGTGTGTAATCCGTGATTTATGTTTTTACTTTCAGTCAATATTCTGTTTCACCACATTAAAAGTAAACCATTAAAACAAATAAGACAAAAAATGACCTGTGAGCAAATGTGGATAACCAGCAAGGAATTTGGCCCAGTGACGTAAGAGTTGTTCATTTAAAATTGAGGCATTCTGTGACCTTGTCACTGACCTTGTGAGTGATGAAAAGTGGTTTACCTGACACTAAAGGATGTAAACAGAGGTTAGAAACAGTTTAAGTTCAATAAAAGTCAAAATTATTGTGCTATTTTTTTTTTTTGATAAAAAGAAGTAAATGAAAAAAACAACTTTATTACTATTAGTGACAGTGCACAAAGNAGTCCTAATATTATGAGATTCAATTCATAATATTATGAATATTATGAATGAGATTAAAGTCATAATATTATGAGATTAAAGTCCTAATATTATGAGTTTAAATTCTTAATATTATGAATATTATGAATGAGATTAATGTCATAATATTATGAGAATAAAGTCCTAATATGAGAATAAAGTCCTAATATTATGAGATTAACGTCATAATATTATGAGAATAAAGTCCTAACGTTACAATATTAAAGTCATAATATGATGAGATTAAAGTCATAATATACTAAAATTAAAGTCTTAATACTATACCCTTTACATGAAAAAGCATGCAGTTATCACTGCGTTAAAATGAGGAACGTTGTGCAGCTTGTCAAGTTGTTCTTTAGTATTGCTTAAAATAAACAGTTAATCTTTTGGCACATCAGTATCAAATTATCAGCAGCAGGACTTGGAAATTGTGAAAACGACTGTATGATAAACTGAAGCTGTATTATAATTAATAGATGCATTGACAGATTTAGTCGTCACGTAGCTAATTTGGATGAAATCATATTAATCTAACAGTGATCCAGGTCATCACAGACTACTTTATAAACACAGACACATGGCTGTACACAGCAGGTGTGAGGGAAATAAGGAGGAAACAAGGAACGGAAAATGGACATGTCATGCAAGATTGACTTTTTTCATAATATTACAACTTTATTGTGGTAATATTATGACTTTATTCTTGTAAAATTACGACTTTAATCTCATAATATTATGGCTTTATTGTCATAATAATAATTTTAAAAAATCTTGTGCGGCCCTAATACTCTGTTGTACTTTCTAAACGTCCCTGCAGGTGATAGAAAGGAGGGAGTGAGCACCCACCTCTCCGGAGTGCAGAGAGGAAAAGCAGCTGGTGTTGAAGAGCTCAGCCAGAGTGCATGCTGGGACTTGGCTGCCCACCCAGAGCAGCAGAGAGAAGGGGGCGTGAATCAGGTAGAGACCTCCGGGCTCCAGGCTGGCAGCGGTGCAGCGCAGCGCCTCCTCTGGGTTCGGAGGCTTGGAGCCGTCTGCTGAACGTGGCTGCAGGTCAGAAACATTACAAACTGTTCTGCTCAAAGACAAACGTGAGAAAGAGTCTGAAGTTGTGTCGATGGCACTGACCACGGGCAGCAGCTGGGGGTAGAAGTGTCTGACGGTGCTGCGGGCGTCCAGGCCGAGCACCTGGCAGCGCTGCTGCAGCCTCTGGTGGACGGAGCTCCTCAGGCCCGGCAGCAGCACCTCGCTCTTCCTCAGGCTGTTGACGTAAACAGGAAGAGCTCGCAGGAACTGAGGGAGAACCAGCTGCAGAGCGAATACGTCACAGTAAAGCTGATGTTAAACAAACTGCGTTACAGATTAAAAGACAAACGTGTGTTTAAACACCACCTGTCCAGCTGAGACTGAAGACGAGCAGCAGTGTTTGCGGTAAGAGGCCAGAGCTTCGGTTACATCTGTCTGCAGCTCCTCCCTCAGCTCCTGCAGGGGGCGCTCCAGCACTGCACAGTACACTAAACACAAGGAAGATAATCACTCCTGTTCTTTAAAAAGATCCCTGATTTGTTGTAAAATTAGACTTTATTTGATAAACATACATTTTAACTGTAAAATAAATACTGTAAGAATACTGTAGGCTGTTTAGTAAATTTTTAAAAATATATTTTAACACGGACGGAGCCATTTTATTTACACGCAAAGCATTCTGGGTAAATGATGACATTGATAGGTCCTCGGTGCYAGGCTGTTAGCGAGCTATATCCACCCTGAAGGTTAATCTTGGACAATATCTGATGATCGACTCTTTTAAATGAAACCAGAGAGCGTTGACAGAGAGGAGAAGGWAGAAATGACTCYGCCTGGAACTGAAAATATGGATGGAGGARAACAGAGCTGCTTCATGGAAGAAGAACCTCAGCTTAGCATGTTAGCCTTTGTGCTAGCACCGACGCTATATTGCCTTATATGAATTAGCTCGGTGCTAGCGCGACAAGCTAAACTGTTGTCCTCCATCCATATTTTCAGTTCCAGGCTGAGTCATTTCTACCTTCTCCTCTCTGTCAACGCTCTCTGGTTTCATTTAAAAGAGTCGATCATCAGATATTGTCCAAGATTAACCTTCAGGGTGGATATAGCTCGCTAGCAGCCTCGCACCGAGGACCTATCCATGTCATCATTTACCCAGAATGCTTTGTGTGTAAATAAAATGGCCCTGTCTGTGTAATATATTTTTAAACTTTTAGTTTAATATTTATAAAAACTAAACATCCTACAGTATTTTTACAGTCTTTGTTTTACAGTTAAAATATATGTTTATCAAATAAAGTCAAATGTTACAACTAATCGGGGATCCCTTTAAATATTACTCAAATACATATTTATACTGTGGATTTGGTTAATCCAAGACAAATAGGAGTTTAATTTATCCTAAAAGTATCAGCATTCCCAGGAAAACATAAAAATGTTTTGCACTCAGAGAAGAAAACTAATTTATAACCAATAAAAACATTTCTTCAGAGCAGATCCAGAAACAGAGGTATAAAACGACACTTACAAAATGGCCGTTCATTACATTTTTTTCAGAACTGTATAAATTTCACCAGCAAATACCAGATGAATCATTTTGCTATCGTAAACTGCAGCAAAGCAGGGAACCATTTCTCTGCTCCACGGGGCAGGTGTCTTACTCTTCTTGCAGTAGAAGGTGAGCAGCGTCTGGGCCTGGTAGTTCCTGAAGGTGTCCTGAAGGTGGCGCGAGCAGCGTAAAGTCAGGGTGTGGACTCTGGTCCTCCTCTGTCCTGTCTGAGAACTGTAGGACAAAACCACCTGGAACACCAGGAAACAGAAAACATTACTCAGACATCATCGTAGTGCTTTTTCAACAAGTCATAAATCAAAACATTCAGCTCCTTCAGGACATTCTGTCTTTTGGTATTTCAGCTATTTATACTTTTTTAGCTGTTTCACTTTTTTGGCCACTTTTTCCCATTGAAAATGAATGGAAATGTTTTCAACATCCTTAAAACTCTTCAAAATGTTTATAAATCTTCACAGAACTTTAAACTTTTGCTCTGGTTTGGCTCTTTTTAACTTCCTGGTGCTAATTTTAGCTTTTTTCAGCTATTTCCTGTTAAATCTTCTGCTAGATTGTACTTTTTTGTGCTTCTTTCTGCTTCTTTGTGCTATTTTGAGCTTTCTGCTTATTTCAGCTGTTTACTGCAGTTTTAGCTGCTGTTCACTGTTATTAGCTAAAATTAGTTTTTAGGCTAAATTCACATTTTGGGAGCCGTATCAGCTTCTTTCTGCTAAGTTCTGCAAACATGCTCCTTCTGCTTCTTTATGCTAAATTCAGCATTTTCAGCTACATTTTAGCTGTTTTGATGCACATTTTAGCTGTTTTACAGCAAATTGCAATTTTTATACATTTTTTCTTGTTTTATGCCACTTTCACCATCTGTAAGCTAATTTTAACGTGTCTGCTACCTTTAATTTCTTATATTATAACTTAAGCTTTTTCTGCTATTTTAGCTATTCTTCTGCTAATTTCTGCTTTTTTCTGCATTTAGTTTTTTTTCTGCTAATTTGAGCTTTTTCTCATTTCAAATGAACTTGAATTAAACTTTAACTTTCAGCTGTTTTTAGCAGGAAACACACTTGCATGTTCACAGGAAATGCAGTTTCTCTAGTTTTAGCTGATTTGTAAACTCACCTGTACGGCGGCTCCTCTCGCCTCATCCAAAGCTCTGGTGTGTGCGAGGTCCACAGCCACTGTTGTCTTCTCATCCACTGTGGCCATGGTGACGTGTCCAGGACTTGGACCGGGCACAAACAGCCCGTAACAGCCGGACACTCGTAAATCTGTTAAAGCAGACACAAACAGGTGAACGACACACAGAGGGGGCGGAGCCAGACTGAGGTCAGCTCTCACCTTTGCTGACGAACATCCTGAGCTCAGCCTTGTAACCGGTGTCCCTCTGCAGAACCCGCTTCAGGTCGGAGCTGAAACGCTCTCTGTCCAACTCACCCTGGGGTGGAAGTTTAAAATAAATAAAATAAAAATACCAAACAGCAGCTCATCGGTACGTGTCATCACTTTATCAGCTCACAGCTAAAAACATAAATTCAGCTGGAGAAAAAGCTTTCTGCAAAAATACAGTGTGAGCGCCGAATGACTGCTGAAATTTAAAAAAAAGAAGCTGAAATTTAGTTGTTAAAACTAAAAAAGGGCAGAAAATTAGCTGAGAGCTAAAAAGGAACAAAACGCTAGCCAAAGGTAGCAAAAGGGTAACTCAAAACTAAAATTTCTGCAAAAAAAAATAAAAGTAAAAGACTAGCTAGATGCTACAGGTGGCATCAGGTGAGCTAAAAGTAACAAAAAGCTAACTAAAAGCTAGATGTAGCAAAACACCAGCTAACAGTAATAAAATGCTACTGAAAGCTAAAAATAGCAGAACAGTAGGTAAAAGCTAAACATAACAAAACACTGGCTAAAAGTTGCAAAAGGCTACCTTAAAATCTAAAACTAACAAAATTTCAGCTAAAACAATCAAAAGACTAGCTAGATACTACAAGTGGCAACAGAGCAGCTAAAAATAACAAAAAGCTAACTAAAAGCTAAATGTAGCAAAACACCAGCTAAAAGTAACAAAAGGTTACCTAAAACTAAAAAGTAACCAAAGTTTAGCTCGAAACTAAAAAGGTACCAAAAGACTACCTGAACCTAAAAATAGCGGAACTGTAGTTAAAAGCTAAACATAACTAATTACCAGCTAAAAGTAGCAAAAAGGTAATTAAGCTAAAAAAATAGCAGAACTGTAGTTAAAAGCTAAGCATAACTAATCACCAGCTAAAAGTAGCAAAAAGCTAATTAAGCTAAAAAAGGCGGAACTGTAGTTAAAAGCTAAACATAACAAAGCACCAGCTAAAAGTAACAGAGGGCTAAGTAAAATTTCAAAATAAAAGCCAGCTGTGAGCTAAAAGCAGCAGAACTGCAGATAAAAATTGAGTAAAAACAGAAGCAGTATATTGAAGCTAATTTCAAAGCCAACAATGTAACTGAAGGAATTGAAGAGATCTTAGTTTATATCTATGAGGAAATGTTTATAAATGAAGTTCAATAGTTTGAAAAGAAAGTTACAGAAAGTAAAAGTCTTTGACTGAGCTGAAAAGTCTGATTTATGAGTGGCTAAAAAAATAAAAAGTAAAAAATGTCTACACCTTTTGGTGAATTACTTTGAAAAACCAGACCCATACCAACAGAGCCTGAGCTCCTCCTACATGGAGAGAACATGTTGATGTACCTGGAGGTAGCTGTAGGTGTGCAGGGCTCCACCTGTAAGATAAGGAATGTGACCTGGCCAAGCCCCGCCCACATCGTGCTGAGAGAGGATGAACATGTGAACGCCGCATCCCTGACAGACGCACTCCTTAGCCAATAAGATGGCTTGCTCAGATGGCTGAAAGATTGTCTAAAATAAACAAAGAAGGAGGGAATCAAACCTAGTGAAACACGAATAAAACCAGTTTGTGTTTTACTTCCTTGTACCTTTGGTTTGTTGGCGCCAAAGAACCCTGAGGAAGAGTTTGTGTTTCCAGTTTCTATCAGAGCAGCAGAATGAAAGATCAGCAGCTTCCCAGGACACTTCAGACCCTAAGATTTGTTTAGATAAACACAATTAATGATTAATAACTGTAAAGGCACAATATGCAAAAAATAAAAAAATGCAAAGACTCCTGCCCCACCTGCAGCACAGCCAGCCCAGCTCGAACAGGGAGCTGGATGGAAACTCCACTGGAGTCACAGTCTGCAGTGAACTGAGGAATGAGCTGCAAAACGCTGCAGAGAGGGAAAACAGACGGTATGGTAATTATTAAACAAAAACATCGAGCAAAACATGGTGAAAAACATCACAAGCCTCTGGTTTCATAAGAAGAAAACAGTTCAAACAAGCTCACCCCAAGTTCAGACTGTGTAATGCTCAGATCAAGTATAAAAAGTCCAGGAAGGTAATCTCAATTTTTAAAAAAATGAACATGAACAACTTTTTCTGCAAAAGTTGCAAAAATCTCGAGTTCTTGATATTTCCTTGTCTCATAGAAACCAGGTGATATTTGGTTGTTGTTAGCATCTGTGAACATGATAAATTATAAGGAGAATTTGCAAAAAAAAAAAAAAAACACAACTCTTACCTGTCGATACTTTCTGAACAGTCTTTGAGGGACACCAGAAGCCCCTCCCTCACAGGAAGCTGCAGGTCTTCTGTTTCTGTGACCACCAGCATGTGAGGGCGGGACAGGTCCGGGCTGAGGTCGTACAGGTGGATCCTGCTGTCATACGTGATCAAACCCACACGGACATCTGATAAAGGATGACCCTCCTCTCTACAGAAATAAAACAAACATAATTTTTCTAATTGGGTAAAGTATTTATATTGAAGTAAAAGCATTAGTTACCTTTGTAACGAAGCCAGCAGTGTGTGTATTTGTTGTGTCACAAACTCTAAATGTCCTCCTCTCAGGGCTGAAATGGACACGTCTATCGCTAGAAGCAGAGCAGCAGGTTCGCCCTAAAACACAGAACAAATGTTTAAACAGTTCTTTTTCTAGTTACATTTGAAAAAAAGTATCACGATAATTTAGACCAGAGATGCCCAAAGTTGGCCCACCAAGCAACTGCACTGGCTGCTAGCTTATTCAGAACAATAAAACAACTTTACTTAAGAAGTATTTACATTTTATGTATTATATTACTGCATTTGGCCCGTGGCCCTCAGATTGATTTTAATTTTGGCCCTCTCAGGGAAAATGTTTTTTTTTTTTTTGGCCCTTTCAGGGAAATTTTTTTTTTTTGGCCCTTTCAGAGAAAATGGGTTTTTTTGGCCCTCTCAGGGAATTATTATTATTATTTTTTTTAATTTTGGCCCTCTCAGGGAAAATGTTTTTTTTTAATTTTGGCCCTCTCAGGGAAAATGTTTGGGCACCCTGATTTAGACACTGAGCAGAAAGAACACAAGAGAAATAATCACATTTAACTTGATCACAGATGAGCGGCAGAAGATGGAGAACAAGAACAGGTCCAGAGTTAACAAAATAAAAGCTTTAAAAAAAACATCTAACCTTCTCAGACTGAAATGTTTCGTATGAGCCCAAACTGAGTTCAGGTCTCTTGTCTTTATCGATCCGGACCCCCTCTGGCCCTGTGGTGTGCTGGTACTGTTGCCACGACACTGAAACGAAACGTGTTGCATGAGTGAAGTTAAAAACATAATTCAAACATCAAGCAGGCTTCAAAACGAGGTCATTCAGGTTTAATTGTTTGCTTTGAAGCTTAGAAACAAGAACACAATGAACTTGAAGCACTACCTTCACTGAGTTTACCACAGAAGGGGCAGTAAAATCTCTGTCCACAGTCCTGCCAGCTCATCACTGAACACATGGACGCTCCACACCAACAACAACCACTAACACAATCTGTGTCTTTGCACAACGGAACGGGCAGCTGAAGACAAAAAAATAAAAATAAAAAATCCACACAAATAGAAAACTATGTGAAGATTTTTTTATTTCAATTTGAACAAAAAAGCATTACTTGCAGCTTTAAACCAACCTCTCCAGCGTTCTGACTCATAAACGGGGTAACCAGAGCTCCCAGCGGCAGACGGCTGAGCAGCGTCGTCTGGCCGTCACATGGCACGCAGTACGTCGTGGAGCGGATCGCTAACGGACTTGCGTTACCTGCAACACAGGATTAATAAATAAAAGCAACGAGTTTAAATTACAGCAGTGACAGGAAGAACTGGAACCTTTCCTTTATTGTTTATTTTAAGGATCAAGCATCAGATCAGATCTTATCCTTTATCTAATATTGATGTATCTGTGCAGCAGTCAAACTGGATAAAATCCATAATGGAGACTTTATGACCCAGGTGAGACGTTACCTCTGTCCTCTACGACACACGGGGTCGTTGAAAGAGGAGGAAGACGGGAAAAATGCTCCGAGATGAAAACCTTCCCCTCCCACTCCTCCTTGTCCTCTTCCATCACCTTCACCTTCACAGAAAGATATAAAAATAAGATTATAGTAACATTTAACTGAGCTTTACAAGGCAGGATCTGTTTTTAAACACTCACATTCATCTGGTATAGCTTATATGAAACAATTAATATATAGAAAAACTGGATCTTTATCTGTTGTATATACATATATAATAAGAATTTTCTTCAACATATTAAGTTCCATATCTGCCGTATTTGATACATATCAATTTATCTAAGGCTGCATTTGTGTCATCCTGAACAAGAAAGTGTATTTTTTATATTAGTTGTAGGAAATGAAAGAATAGAAGAGAACTTACAGCACTGGGTAACAGTTTGGGGTCCAGACCGTAACGGGACTCAGAGTTGGGAGACTTCAGAGAATCAAAAAATTGATTACAGAAACAAAACTTGGACAAAAACATAATATAAAAAAAATTAATTTAACTCTGTGGCCGAGTAATAAATGAGTTTAAAATAAGTGTTAATAATTATGAGAAGTGAGGAGAAATATTCTGGTTTTATAGACTTTCATTGCATCAAATCTGACCAAGATAAATGCAGATTTAGTCAACTGTAATGTTTTATTTTGAAAAACCAAATGAAATGTTATATTTGTCTGATTTAATTTTTTTACATTTATTCTTAAAACGATCCAAGAATAAATCATTTTAGCCTATATGCGTGTAAAGTTATTTATTTTCTGACCTGTGGAGTCAAATTTCCATCCTGTGGAGCTGCGTTGGGATCAAAGCTGGTTCCTCGAGAGAAAAATAACAATTCTTATTTATATTAGAGAAGTAACTAAGTATAAACTAATAAACTAGGCTAATAGGTGATAAAATGATTATAAAATTAGAACCTTGTGAATAATTTATACAAAAAGTGCTAAAACTGATGAACAAGTTTGTCCTGGTTCCTCTAATCACATCCATCATGTGTTTTTAGATCAAACTACCTTCAGGGTGAGCTGAAAGCATCCAGTGAGGTTGCTGCTGGACGGGAGACGTGGGTGAAGCAGATTTGTGGTGATTATATCCTTCAGAAGGCCAATCAGTCCAGTGTGCGTGCTGACCAACTCCTGGAGGACTAACAGGAAGATGGTTGATATTTGGTGATTGCTGTGAACTCAAGACGTCCTGATATGTGTGCAGAGGCTGAAACTGGGGAGATGATGCTTGGTAGGGGCTTTGAGGGTAATAAAGGGGCATCTGTTGGGGGCTGAAAAGCTGTGACCCTGCATTTAATAGTGGAAGAGAACATGGAGGCATATTCCGTCCTTGGCTGGGAGCTGGAAGGTTTTGCTGCACGCTCTGATCGCTGCACTGCACACGATAATAACTGTTGGTTTTGTTTGGAAAGGCAGCAGAGACGCTACAGTTAGCTCCGGATGCCTGCAGGGGGTTGCAGCCGGGGGTCTGGTGTGGGGGAGGTCCTAGATTGAGTTGATGAAAACTGGGCAGAGGACTGCAGAGGGGTCCGAGGGGTTCAGCTGTGGACCAGCCATTCTGGACCGCCCTCTGACACGAGGACTGACTCTGGTTAGGGGCCGGGGCATCCATCGTCATCATCATCCATAAAAGTTAAAGATGAGAGTGTTTCTCATTGGAGACAGGATCTAGGGATTAAACAGAATTTATAAAAAACAAAAATAATCTGGATAATCAAGTGAGTTCCTGTGTTCCAGGGTTTTTCTATGAAGTAATGAGAGGAAGCGGTGTTTTCTTTATGTTGTCAATGGATTTAGAGCTTACTTACTATTAGGGTTGGGCATAATCGTATCATTTGCAATTAATCGTCACAAAAACATCAATCGATTACTTTTTGGCACTTGACGATTAATACGATTAATGCCAGCAGGCAGAGTTCGCTCAGTGCTCCTCTCTGCTTCAAATATGACGAACATTTTTTTAAAAAAGTTCTGTAAATTATTTATCTATCAACACAATTTAAAATGTGATGTATAGCCTGAAATCTGTAATTTTGAGACAATTTGGAACAGATTTGTATGAAGAGCTAATCTTTCCCACTAAATTGGTCGTGTGACCAGGACATAAGGGTGTCCAGGGGATTAATCNGTGCAGATAAGTAACTACAATAATAAATGATCAACTTTTTTAAAATGACAAAGAATAGGAAAGGATATAAAACCATGAAGTGATTCTACACTTGGAAACATAATTTTAAGGAAAGAAAATATACAGCTATTGTTTTTTCAGATAATCTTGGCCAGGCTTTGCTCCCTAATTAATGTGAGTTCAAAATCACTTGCTTAAAATATATATAATACACACAAGCCCTGTACATTTTTTTTTCCAAAGATTAAAACAACTAGAAAGTGTCAGTACCTTTGTAATAATACATAAGTTTATTTGTTTGGGTTATAAAAAGTTGTAACTTCAAAGAGTTTTTAAAAATACCACATTTACTCATTAAGCCAAACCCAGATAGCAAAAGATGTTAACTCAATGTTGAATTATGACCAAAAAAGTTAACTTTTGTTGATGAATCAATCATCAAGCATCCAAATTCAGCCAAACTACCAATGATGAAACAATGTTATTGAATCAATGTTTCATGGTTGAATTCTAATGATTGAAAGCCCAACGTCTAATAAATGTTGAATCATCTAAAATCAGTTGTGGTTGAAAACCTAATGTTTAAACAAGTCACGATTACTTTTATGTCATTTCAACAAGGAGTCAATATCATGCCTAACCATATTTCAGTGTTGATTCACTCATATTTTGTGTAGGAGCCATAATTAATGTTTTTGTTGTTTATTTGTTTTGGTGGCAGAGGTGTTCATATTGGTCCTAGGTAATAAATGTAAGGGGCGTGGTTACAGGCTGGTGGTGAAGCTCATGCGTCCTGTCGGACAGCTGGGCGAGAGGTTATGGGTAAAACTTTTTGTTGACCTTCGTCGTAATTTTTATCCTTTTTGTAATTATGCTTCAAAGCGCTTTCCATACAGTTTGTTTGTTCTCAAATTGAATGCCTAAAAACTGTATCGGACTCATGGATGACATTTTTTGGAGATGCGTCACGGAAATAAAACTTCTCAGCCGGCAGCGGCTTTTTTGTTGGATCGAAGTCGTTACATTTTGCTATCTGGGAAATGTATTTACATGCTTAGGATAAATGTATATTATTTCCATTTAGCTGCTGTCAAGCTAATGTGTAAGATATAGGAATTATTCTGAGAGTTTTCAAATTNGGCTTTTGACAATCTAAACAGCTAGTACACAAATATAAATACTTATTTATACTTATTTTGTGTTTTTGTAATAGTTAGGGGGAAATATTACATCAGTAATTATTTTATTACCTTTTAAATTGATTTCTGGAGATTATCCAAGGTGCTTCATGACCCATAATTGGATCCCAAGCCCAACWTTGGGAACCAAAATGCAGTGGTTCCCAAACTTTTCAGCTTTTGACCCACAAAATAACAGTAGCAGAGACCTGTGCCCCCAACTATTTTTGTATGATAAACATTTGTATCAGGTCAACTAAACATGGGCAGTAACAATATTTTTATACTACATTTATCCATTTTAAATATACTAACCTCACTCCTTTGTAACAACTAAGGCAAAAAACGTAATTAATTCAGAAAACCTTTTCAGGACCCCACCTTGATTTTTCGGGACCCCACTTTGGGTCCCGACCCCAACTTTGGGAAACACTGCTCTAAATTATTTTGTGCTTGCAATGCCCAAGTCTAAGAACCTGGAATGAAAACAAATATTACACAGATGAGACAAACAATAAACATTTGTTGAGATTAAGTAGGTCATGGTGAAAATAAGTTATTTTACATAAACAGACAACAAATTTAACACATGTGAGAAAGCTAAATCAGGTTAGTGTAGAAGAGCTGCAATTAAATCCTGTTTGAGATTATAAATAAACAGAATTGGTTGTATCCTCTTGTTAGATTACAGTTTGTAGAGTTGATGTTAAAATAATCTAGATTCAGTTTTAATACAATAAACATGACTCAGATTATTGCAGCTTCATAAAAGGAAGCATCCAACATATATTTGAATTTAATTAAAACATTTTAAAGCATAAATAAATCGGCTACAATAACAAACAGATGTTATGTTAGCCTGGTTAAAATGTGTTTATACAATTTCATTAAAAGCCTCTTTTTGTCCCGCTGATGGATCAAAGGATGCAGGTGTGGTGCACCTGTATTATCTAAAGAGATCTTTTGGTTTTATATCTCATATTAATAAAGTAAAGATATTTCCACAATTGCAAAAATACACGACGGTTGTTAATATTTCATGCAGTTTAACAGGTTACCTCATTAAGAATAAATTATTTTCTGCTTTTGTTTGCCTGCTAGCTAACATTATGACAGATATGTTCTTGTGGGAAGGAAGGTCTTGACATTACATATACAATGGCACTTAGAGAAAAGACAATGATAAATAAAAAATATATATCAAATCTACAAAAAAAAAAAATACTTTTGAGTGAAAAGGTAAAATACCGTTTGTCGACGGAAATAAAGGACTGTCGCCGGTGCGCATCGCTGGACGTCAATGTTACGATCGTTTCCGGCTGCTTTTTCACTTAAAATGCGACTAAAGTCAAACATTTTCTGTCACTTCATAAAGAAAAATGCCGAACAAACAAAACGATTCACGGTTAATAAATCTAAGAGCATGATGTGGTAAAGTTCAACTGCGGCGTTAGCATTACAAAGCTAAGAATTAAGCTAGCGCGTTTCCGTTTGATCTTTCAAAGTAAAAGCATGCACTTATGTAACGAAGTGCATAGTCAAAATGAATTATTTTTGGATGTTTTTGCAGATGAAAATGGAACAAAATATATGATTTTTTTTAAAGAGGATGGACATAAAAATAAACTAATATAATCAGTATTGCACTAGGCTACTTAAGAACTTTTTTAATGCTCTTTTCAAAAGCAAAATGTGAGGTAATCTAAAGATTGCTAAAAACATAAATGTTTGCATTTCTTTTCAGATTAACAACTTACCAAAATTTTCAAAAAAATTAATCCTTAAACACCTAATCTTATAATTCAATTCTTTAAATAAATATAAGCCAGTTAATCCCATGTCCTTTTTGACAACAGCATAGGTTTGCATCTTTGTACAATAATGCATTTTCCACACTTATGTATTAAGAGTTCAAAATCATGTAGATGTTCTGCATTGGGTTTTTTTTTCTATTATTATAGCAATTTTACAGAAATTCTTGCAACTCTACAATACAACACAGATTTATATAAGCGTTAATAAATCACTACAAGAAGATGTGCTTTCAGTTTATTTCTGGAATACTGAGAACTTTTCTTTTTGGTTACAAATGGCAACATTATTCTTTGTAAAAGTGAATGTACAAAGTTAAAACAAAATATATGTCAAATTAAAGAAAAGAGTAACATGATAGTGTGCCCACTACTAAAAAAAAGTTTGTTTTTTCACTTGAGATTCACCAGCAGCATCCAAATTGATGATCAGTCTGTACAAAACAAGTGTAACTATTTCTAAACTGTTCTAAAAAATCATATTGGAAAACAATTACAAAACACATTAAAATAACACTAACACTAAAACTACATACATTTTTTTAAATATTTTTTACCTCAAGAAAGACAAAGACAAAAGACATGTAAAGAACTGACAAAGAGGAAGAAGTTTCACCAGTTTGGGCCACTTTGGCACAAAATTACACCTACAGCTGTTGGTAATATACATAACTCTGTTGTGGTTTCTCCTGCCTGGATCTTTTACTGGTTTTTGCCATGTTTCTTGAAAAGCTACACTGCCTTAGTGAAGTCGTGATCCGGTTTCTGACATAGTCCTTCACGCCTTTCCACGAACGGTTACTCAGTGCGTGTGGCTCGGCCGCGAGGCACCGAACGCAGTCGTCTTTCTGAGGCAGCTTGTGTTCTTCGATGAAACTCATCAGGTGTCTTTCTACGGCGGACACCTCTGCTTCATTCCATTTATGCTTGGTTTTAGGATGAGAGACTGCAGGGGTTATATAAAAAAAGAAAATTCAGTTATGTGTTAAAGCAATAACGACAAAAACAAAGTCTTGATGGTCACCATAAAATATCACCTTTTTCCCTAGATTTGGCAGGTTTAGGAGCAGTAGACTTGTAGTAGTTTGTTGTTACTTCATGCACTTGTTGATGAAAATGTACTTGTCCAAAGTTTGAACTGGAGACCACACTGGGCTGCTCTATGACAGCTTCTTGTCTGTTAGTAGGTTGTGGTCTCACTGTAGAAAATTAAACAATAAAAAAGGTTGTCAACCTCTAAAAACCATCAGTTTGAAAAGACAAAAAAACAACTTTATATTAGAGAACTAATTGAGTTTAATTAACAAATTGGGGTAATAGGTGATAAAATGAGTATTTACTTGGAATCTTTTGAACAAATTATACAAAATGAGTTCAGATTAAAGTTGATGAAAAGTTTGTTCTGATTCCTCTTAAGTTAATTACTATAAGCAATCATATCTACATTCATCATGTGTTTGTAAATAAAACTACCTCCAAAGTGAACTGGTCCAAAGTTTAAACTGGAGACCACACTGGGCTGCTCTGTGATAACTTCTTGTCTGTTAGTAGGTTGTGGTCTCACTGTAGAAAATTAAACAATAAAAAAGTTGTTAGCTTTTAAAAAACCATAAGTTTGGTTGAAGCCTTTATATAAACATATAATAAGAGCTGTTACCAGAGCTCTGCTGTGGCTCCTCCTGCCTGTGCCTGACGCTGGGTTTTGATGAAACCTTGCCAGAGCCGCTCTGTCTTTGCAGAGTCGTGATCCGGTTTCTGACGTAGTCCTTCACGCCTTTCCAAGTACGGTTACTCAGAGCGTGTGGCTCGGCCTCGAGGCAACGAACGCAGTCATCTTTCTGAGGCAACTTGTGCTCCTTGATGAGATGCATCAGGTGTTTCTCCACAGCGTGAACTTCTGCCTCACTCCATTTAGGTTTGGGTTTGTGTTGTGTGCCTGTAACGAGGAGAAAAAGAATGATTGAGTTTAAACCAATTTATTTGATTGTTAGTTTGCTAATCATAATGAAATAACTACTTTTTTCTCTTGCTTTCTTAGACTTGGTGGTCGCTGTGTTTCTTGTTACTCCAGGGCCTTGCTGTTGATTAGGATCTCCTGGTCCAAAGCTTGAAGTGGAGACCAGGCTGTGATGCACTGCAGCTTGTTTGTCAGAAGGTTGCAATCTCACTATAGAAAAAAAAAGAGGTAGACTTGACTTAGAAATGACCATTTTTGTTGGAACCAATGACAACTGTTTCTTCAGAAGGTGAAAACTCGAGAATTTACTGTAATCGAGACATTTTATCTTCTGTAGTTCCTTCTGCCTGTTGCTGCTTTCTGAAGAAACCTTGGAAGAACTGTTTTGTCTTTGCAGAGTCGTGATCCGGTTTCTGACATAGTCCTTCACACCTTTCCACGTACGTTTCTTCAGAGCAAGTGYCTCAGCTTCGAGGCACCGAACACAGTCGTCCTTCTGAGGTATCTTCTGCTTGGTAATGAACTGCATCAGGTGCTTTTCAACAGCCTGAACCTCGGATTCAATCCATATGTGTTTGGTTTTGGGGGCCGAGTCTGAGGATGAGTGGAGTTAAAGGAGATTAAACAGGTTTCTCTTCTTGTTTCAGAGTTAGCACACCACAGTATCATGTCTGATCAGGATGTAGCAATGGATCAAACTGCCTCCAACATATTGGCGCTTCAAGTAAAGATTTAAAATTTGACAACTGATCTATACATATACAGTTGAATCATCTACAAACAAAAATGATTACCTGCAAACTGCATTTCTGTATTTACACACAGGTTGTTCTGCACCATAGACTGGATCTCATTATTAAGGCCAAAAATTTGTTGGGCCTCGTTTTCATCCAGGTGAATCAGCTGTAGCATTGTGGAAAAATGTTTCCGAAGTTTCATCGACGTCAGAGCTTTGGGGTTTTTAGCTCCACATCCATTAGCGTATTTCTGGATACAGTCTGACCCACGATAGGCAGTTGGTCCACAAGTTCGTGCAAACACAAAGGGGTTTTCGCTGTGGACTCCACATTTGTCACGAACTTTTATCAGAAGCTCCATAGCCGACTCAAACGAAGGCTTTAGCAAAATGGGGACAATTCTCCCAGAGCTTCCTCTAATGTCCACTCTACTGAAGAAACCACACAAGGTTCTTTCCAAATTTGACACWGAAACGTCCAAGTCATCYAMAARMTCRGACCTTTTRCGTAACATGAAGGCCTTTACTGTTATTGATGAGACCTCTCCAGATTTCCTCCTGTTGAAAGCAATGGTCTGAGCCAGTACTACACTGGCCAGGGCAGCGTAGGTTTCTGGACAAACATTCTCTCTGAGATTCTTCTCAGCAAGATGATAGGCAGTCTCCATGTGGTAATACAGACATTTCACATCTTCGGCAAATGGCACAATCTTTAGGTTTCTCCTTTTAGAATTCTTCATACTTGTTAAAGCATGTGATGAAATGAGTCTCCTCCATTTCTTATCATGCAAAGAGAGATAGGTTTTGCACAACCTTTGGACTTTGGTATCACCAGATTTAATGGCATTCTGCTGTACAATGCCACAGATCTTCTTTAGGTTGTAACCAAGCTTATAAGCCATTGATGGAAGGGTGTAGGTTTTCTTTTCTGAMTCYTAKCCWGRTAKMWRTTTCACAGCAGACACCACATGGCGGAAGTTGGAGGGGTCAAAAAAATCTTCCAGACTCTGCATAGGYGTGGACWTTTGGGCCTCTAGCAKAAGTCTTSCRACAMKTCMAAGTTGTTGTCTTATATATTCATTCTTGTTCATGCTGCGAACAACGCCATTAGCTAAGTGCTCTCCAAACTGCAGAATTAATGGGTCTTCCATCACAGTTTCTGTCACCTCATCATATACCATCTCACCTATGATGTTCTTCAACTCCTCACTTAGGTCACCACAGTTTTTTGTTAGAAGTACACATTTCGATATGACTCTTTTTTTCCCATTTGATTTATCTTCCCTCTTTCCATTGGAAYAGCACCTTTTCATGTGYACAKAKATTGATTTTTTMCTATASAGACCAAGACAGTGAAKACACGGGACYAAGTCTGTTGYTTTTGACAGTTTTCTGGGTCTTCTTTGTGCAACGAGCTCTCCCTTMCCTGTTTTTAAAACTTCCTTGTTATGAGCAAAGTTTCCTTRTTTTWTTAGTTTTRCCCAAACWCTWTTTCTTTCCTTGGAATTTYSAGGATARTGYAATGCAATGGCAACTTCAYCTTTGTCACTGTGTGTATTTGTGAGATGTRTTGKCATTTTGMARACAGGTTTCGAACAAAAGACACAGTAATTCTTCTTGGTAGAAGGCCCTTCGTTCTTACTTGGTATTGATCGCAACATAGTTTTTGAGAGAGGTTGCTTCTTCTTTGTTTTGCATGGCCTCTTTGGAGGAGAATCACTTTTCTTTTCACACAGAGAATCCTCTGATTTYTCTTTTTTTTTCCGTGTGGTTCGTGTCTCATTTGTAGGACTTTTGGGACTGCTGTCATTATCAAAATCCTCAGAGTCCACAATATCCTCGGACTGACAATCTGAAAGGCTGTCATCAGTTTGAGGTGTGTAATCAGAATCAATGTCATCTCCTGACTCGCAACAACTTCCTTGCATTTCCTGAAAAATGTAAAAGAAAAATATTATGTGAAATCAAAAGTTCAACATTTTGAAGTTATCTCCAAAATATCAAAATTTAATTTACCCCAGATAATTCAGCAAAATGTATTCATTAACTTTGTGCTTATTTAACTTTAAACNTATTTACATGCTTAGGATAAATGTATATTATTTCCATTTAGCTGCTGTCAAGCTAATGTGTAAGATATAGGAATTATTCTGAGAGTTTTCAAATTAACTACAGTAAACAATCTAGTAAAACACAATTAACTATCAGTAAATCGTTGGAGGACATTCAGGAAGTTGTTTATTTTTTTAAAGAGACTGGTATTAATTAGCATTTTAATAAATGGCTTCATACACTCGACAAAAATTCAATGCAGTGAGAAAAAGCAATAAAAAGGAAGATATTCCACAGAAAAGTTTGCTCCATTGACACGTTTCCCCACAGAACTCTGCTTTGGTTTATTTTTCCTGGGTCTTTCTTGCTTCGACTTCCTTTAAGAGCCACTTTGATTGTGTAAAGTTAGGATCCGATTTCTGATGTACTCCCTTAGGACACTGCATGATCGGTTCCTCAGGCCGTGTGGCTCTGCCTCAATGAATGCAGTCAGCTTTCGCGGGGATCCTAAGCTCTTCAATGATACTAGGCAAGTGTTTTTCTACGACCCAAACCTCTGCTTTATTCTACTTATGATCAACTCTGCGATTCAAGTCTGTGGGAATAAATAAAAAAGCAATTTCTTTAATTAGTAAAGTACAGTGTACTACCTTTAATTTCATTAAAATAATAAAAAATGAACAGAAAAAATAAAAGAGAACTTACAGCACTGGGTAACAGTTTGGGTCCAYACCATAATGGGACTCAGAGTTGAGAGACTGCAGAGAATAAAAGACTCAATTACAGAAACGCAACGTGGAATTAAATTAATTAAACTCTGTCACAAAGTAATAAACGAGTTTAAAAAGTCTTAATGCTGAGAAGTGCAGATAAAAAATTCCTACTTAAGACTTTTAGTGCACCAAATCTGACCAAGATAAATGCAGTTTTATTCCACATGATCCTTATTTTATTTTGAAAAAAACAATCAAAAAACTGATAAATAATTGTCAGAGTTTGGTGATTTTTTTATTTTATTTTATTTTTAAAACAATCTAAGAATGAATTATTTTATTGTATAGGTACGAAAGGTTATTTTTTTCTGACCTGTGGAGTTAAAGGTCTATCCTGTGGAGCTGCGTTGGGAACAAAGTTGGTTCCTGTGGAGAAAAATAAAGTACATGTTAAAGCAAAAAAATGGTTTTGTGAGGAAAAGAAAAAAATCAACTTTATATTAGAGAAGTAATTGAGTTTAATTAACAAATTGGGGTAATATGTGATAAAATGAGTCTTTACTTGGAATCTTTTGAATAATTTATACAAAACAAGCTTCAGATTAAAATTGATGAAAAGTTTGTTCTGATTCCTCTTAAGTTAATAACTATAAGCAATCACATCTACATCCATCATGTGTTTGTAAATAAAACTACCTCCAAAGTGAACTGGTCCAAAGTTTAAACTGGAGACCACACTGGGCTGCTCTGTGATACCTTCTTGTCTGTTAGTAGGTTGTGGTCTCAATGTAGAAAATGAAACAATAAAAAAGTTGTTACCGTTCTAAAAACCATCAGTTTGGTTGAAGCCATTATATTAACATACAAGAGCTGTTACCAGAGCTCTGCTGTGGCTCCTTCTGCCTGCGCCTGACGCTGGGTTTTGATGGATCCTTGCCAGAGCCGCTCTGTCTTTGCAGAGTCGTGATCCGGTTTCTGACGTAGTCCTTCACGCCTTTCCAAGTACGGTTCCTCAGAGCGTGTGGCTCAGCCTCGAGGCAACGAACGCAGTCGTCTTTCTGAGGCAGCTTGTGCTTCTTGATGAGACACATCAGGTGTTTCTCCACGGCGTGAACCTCTGCCTCACTCCATTTAGGTTTGGGTTTGTGTTGTGGGCCTGTAACCAGGAGAAAAAAGAAGAACGGTTGAGTTTAAACCAATTTATTTGATTGTTAGTTTGCTAATTATAATCAAATAACTACCTTTTTCTCTTGCTTTCTTAGACTTGGTGGTTGCTGTGTTTCTTGTTACTCCAGGGTCTTGTTGATTATGATCTCCTGGTCCAAAGCTTGAAGTGGAGACCACGCTGTGATGCACTGCAGCTTGTTTGTTAGAAGGCTGTCTTTGCAGAGTCGTGATCCTGTTTCTGACGTAGTCCTTCAAGCCTTTCCAAGTACGGTTTCTCAGAGCGTGTGGCTCGGCCTCGAGGCAGCGAATGCAGTCATCTTTCTGAGGCAGCTTGTGCTCCTTGATGAGATGCATCAGGTGTTTCTCCACGGCATGAACCTCTGCCTCACTCCATTTAGGTTTAGGTTTGGGTTTGGGTTTGTGTTGTGTGCCTGTAATGAAGAGAAAAAGAATAATGGTTGAGTTTAAACCAATTTATTTGGGGTCCAAGCCCGCGGAAGCAGGGTAACGCAGCTGCAAAGCAGCAGCATTTATTGTACATGTTTTGTGGGGTGGGGGAATCCGCAGTACCCGGAGAAAACCCACGCAAGCAGGAGGAGAACATGCAAACTCCGCACAGAAAGACCCCAGGTTCGAAACGGGGATCGAACCCCGGACTTTCTTGCTGTGGGGCATCAGTGCTAACCACTGAGCCGTCGTGCTGCCAAATTAAGATAGTTTGGACATGTCCAGAGGAGGCACAGTTGGTATAATATTTTATAAAAGTTAACAATGGAGCTCCCAGTAAAAGTACAGAACAGAAGGGAACAGAGGACATTTGGATATGGAGTGACATTTTTCTGAGATCTAAATCTATTTAAGATATTAAGGTCTCAAGTAGACCTTATGCATACTCCTCATGTTACAACTCTGTATTGTATACGTCATCAATGTGCTCAGGACGACATGGGCCAAGGTGGATATGTATACACAGGCTTGGACCCCGGTCATAACTGCTTCGCAGTTCTAGTTTGATTGTTAGTTTGCTAATTATAATCAAATAACTACCGTTTTCTCTTGCTTTTTTAGACTTGGTAGTCACTGTGTTTCTTGTTATTCCAGGGTCTTGCTGTTGATTAGGATCTCCTGGTCCAAAGCTTGAAGTGGAGATCACGCTGTGATGCACTGCAGCTTGTTTGTTAGAAGGTTGCAATCTCACTATAGAAAAAGAGAGGTAGACTTGACTTAGAAATGACCATTTTTGTTGGAACCAATGACAACTGTTTCTTCAGAAGGGGAAAACTCAAGAGAATTTACTGTAATCGAGACATTTTATCTTCTGTAGTTCCTTCTGCCTGTTGCTGGTTTCTGAAGAAACCTTGGAAGAACTGTTTTGTCTTTGCAGAGTCGTGATCCGGTTTCTGACGTAGTCCTTCACACCTTTCCACGTACGTTTCTTCAGAGCAAGTGGCTCAGCTTCGAGGCACCGAACACAGTCGTCCTTCTGAGGTATCTTCTGCTTGGTAATGAACTGCATCAGGTGCTTTTCAACAGCCTGAACCTCGGATTCAATCCATATGTGTTTGGTTTTGGGGGCCGAGTCTGAGGATGAGTGGAGTTAAAGGAGATTAAACAGGTTTCTCTTCTTGTTTCAGAGTTAGCACACCACAGTATCATGTCTGATCAGGATGTAGCAATGGATCAAACTGCCTCCAACATATTGGCGCTTCAAGTAAAGATTTAAAATTTGACAACTGATCTATACATATACAGTTGAATCATCTACAAACAAAAATGATTACCTGCAAACTGCATTTCTGTATTTACACACAGGTTGTTCTGCACCATAGACTGGATCTCATTATTAAGGCCAAAAATTTGTTGGGCCTCGTTTTCATCCAGGTGAATCAGCTGTAGCATTGTGGAAAAATGTTTACGAAGTTTTATCGACGTCAGAGCTTTGGGGTTTTTAGCTCCACATCCATTAGCGTATTTCTGGATACAGTCTGACCCACGGTAGGCAGTTGGTCCACACGTTCGTGCAAACACAAAAGGGTTGTCGCTGTGGACTCCACATTTTTCGCGAACTTTTATCAGAAGCTCCATAGCCGACTCAAACGAAGGCTTTAGCAAAATGGGGACAATTCTCCCAGAGCTTCCTCTGATGTCCACTCTACTGAAGAAACCACACAAGGTTCTTTCCAAATTTGACACTGAAACGTCCAAGTCATCGATAATGTCCGACCTTTTCCGTAACATGAAGGCCTTTACTGTTATTGATGCGACCTCTGCAGATTTCCTCCTGTTGAAAGCAATGGTCTGAGCCAGTACTACACTGGCCAGGGCAGCATAGCTTTCTGGACAAACATTCTCTCTGAGATTCTTCTCAGCAAGATGATAGGCAGTCTCCATGTGGTAATACAGACATTTCACGTCTTCGGCAAGTGGCACAATCTTTAGGTTTCTCCTTTTAGAATTCTTCATACTTGTTAAAGCATGTGATGAAATGAGTCTCCTCCATTTCTTATCATGCAAGGAGAGAAAGGTTTTGCATGACCTTTGGACATTGGTATCACCAGATTTAATGGCATTCTGCTGTACAATGCCACAGATCTTCTTTAGGTTGTAACCAAGCTTATAAGCCATTGATGGAAGGGTGTAGGTTTTCTTTTCTGAGTCATAACCTGCTAATATTTTCACAGCAGACACCACATGATGGAAGTTGGAGGGGTCAAAGAAATCTTCCAGACTCTGCATAGGGGTGGACTTTTGGGCCTCTAGCACAAGTCTTCCCACAGCTCGAAGTTGTTGTCTTATATATTCATTCTTGTTAATGCTGCGAACAACGCCATTAGCTAAGTGCTCTCCAAACTGCAGAATTAATCGGTCTTCCATCACAGTTTCTGTCACCTCATCATATACCATCTCACCTATGATGTTCTTCAACTCCTCACTTAGGTCACCACAGTTTTTTGTTAGAAGTACACARTTCGATATGACTCTTTTTRTCCCATTTGATTTATCTTCCCTCTTTCCATTGGAAYAGCACCTTTTCATGTGYACAKAKATTGATTTTTTMCTATASAGACCAAGACAGTGAAKACACGGGACYAAGTCTGTTGYTTTTGACAGTTTTCTGGGTCTTCTTTGTGCAACGAGCTCTCCCTTMCCTGTTTTTAAAACTTCCTTGTTATGAGCAAAGTTTCCTTRTTTTWTTAGTTTTRCCCAAACWCTWTTTCTTTCCTTGGAATTTYSAGGATARTGYAATGCAATGGCAACTTCAYCTTTGTCACTGTGTGTATTTGTGAGATGTRTTGKCATTTTGMARACAGGTTTCGAACAAAAGACACAGTAATTCTTCTTGGTAGAAGGCCCTTCGTTCTTACTTGGTATTGATCGCAACATAGTTTTTGAGAGAGGTTGCTTCTTCTTTGTTTTGCATGGCCTCTTTGGAGGAGAATCACTTTTCTTTTCACACAGAGAATCCTCTGATTTYTCTTTTTTTTTCCGTGTGGTTCGTGTCTCATTTGTAGGACTTTTGGGACTGCTGTCATTATCAAAATCCTCAGAGTCCACAATATCCTCGGACTGACAATCTGAAAGGCTGTCATCAGTTTGAGGTGTGTAATCAGAATCAATGTCATCTCCTGACTCGCAACAACTTCCTTGCATTTCCTGAAAAATGTAAAAGAAAAATATTATGTGAAATCAAAAGTTCAACATTTTGAAGTTATCTCTAAAAATCACAATTTAATTTACCCCAGATAATTCAGCAAAATGRATTCATTAACTTTGTGCTTATTTAACTTTAAACATCATGTCTTTGGCAAGTTAGCATTCACAAAATGTTTTTGCACAAATAAAATTGAGTAAAAACTGACAATTTGTCCACTTATTTGGCGAGAGTCTACAGCAGGGGTGCCCAACCTTTTTTGAACCAAGAGCTACTTTTGAAGTCGGCAGTTTGCCGAGATCTACTCGTCCAGTCTCAGTCTCAAAAAACATAATTTTTCGTCTCCCTACTCCTCACTTCTTTAAAGTAAATAAAACAGAATGTAATGTGTTGCTCGTTTTATTTAATTTAAAGTATTGTCAAAAAAACATCTACTTAACCATTTATTTACCTAAAAAAAGAAAAGATAAAATCCTTACTTAACTCCTGACAGAGAAACAGAAAAGTGATGCTCGAACAAAAAGGATCAATCTTTTTAACTTCTTCGATTAGTATTCCCTGTAACCTGAAAGCTATGAGGGCTGGAAACATGCCCAGTGCGAAAACCACAGAGTCAAATAACTTTGGAGCAGGGGAACTCGTCTCCATTTATTCAAAGAACTCTCCTCTTTGCTCTCCATACAGGGGAGGAAGAACAAAAACAAAACAAAAAAAACTATCAATCAGGGTCAACATGGCTACAACAAGAGTACCGCCCTTTTTTCAAAGTCAAAGCAGACAATATAAAACTCGCTTGTTTATACTATTACAAAAAGTGACTTTCGATGGTGCAGATTCACAAATCTCCAACAACTATTTCAAACCTCAATCTCTGTGCAGCAGCATGCAGGATGGTGTGTCTTCTGCAGGTGCTGGCCCTCACAGTTCCCGACTGCTGGCTCCAACGGGCCATTCAAAGAGTTCCACCTGGTTCACCACCTGTAAGACGACACACACACACACACACACACACACACACACACACACACACACACACACACACA